TTTACAAGACCTTAAGAGCTGACTTTCATAAAATTTGATTGCGATCTAATGAGAATTTTGGTAAATTTCAAGAGTTCATCTCGAGAAAACTATTCACTAGATTCCCATTGCAGGCAACAAATATCTATCAGTTGGCATTCCTGATGTCTGTGGTCTATTCTCAAGCAATCGCATACTTCTTATTTGCTATGGATGCAAATGAAGTCGCCACCATACCAGTCTCTTCAACTGAATAACCGAATTCGATTGATCAATGATGACCAACCTATTGTGATCTTCACTCTAACTAATCGCTAATTGATTAATGCATTTATCAAGTTCATAATAAAACGCCATACTATCTAAATCATCGCCAAAAGTGATATAATACTTAGTTGTGTGATGCTTCATCATTTCAAGCAGTATGTGCGACGGAATTATCCGTTAACATAGCGGTATCATAGTGTTCGTCGGAGAGCAGTTTTTCGGACGGGGTGGGTCCCCACAGAAAAGTCGGGGAGCAAAATGCGCGAGGGGAGTGCCCCTCGCGTTCCTCGTCGGAGTCCCCGACAGGGACCTCTTTCACCGACGAACACTACTCTATCATCCTGAATTAAGAAATATCAGTAGAAAAGGTCACAGCATTGAAGCGACTGTTGAATGTTTCTAAGCATCATTGAAGTTTCGCCACCATCTCTGATTGCATACGTCACTGAAAGTTGAATATCTCATCAGCGAAGTTTTTATTTGAGGAGGGGGGAGGGCAGGGATTTGCGTGCGTTCATTAACCTGTACAGTTCGGTTGGTTAGCATTGAGAAGGATGATTGTGTGGGTTTCTCAAATGCTTCAACCTCTCACGTCAGAGAATATATTTTAGCAATATAATAAACGAGCGCTCACTAATTGGATTACGCGACGTAAATTGTATGCTTTCAGTAATCGAAGATGTCGAAAACGCTTGATAAAAGAAAGCACCTGAATTGTCGATTGAATGTACATGAACCTTGGATCAAGATATTACCAAATGATTGGGATATGTAAAAGGACATAACCATCAGCGAAATTCCAACCTCGTTGAGCGTCTTTCAATGATTGCCAACAAGCATTTTTCAGACGATTATCTTTTTGATCCGGATATTCAGCTAAAACAGCCGACAGTTTTTCGAGAATTTTTATAAGACTAATATCATCAGCTTTCAATGATACTTTTGCCTTCTCGAGTAGTTCACTGTAGCGTTTCTTTGCTATTGTGTAACGCTGTCTTCTCTTTACGGCATCTAAACACACAAATGAACTGATATTGATAGTATCGACACCAAAACTAATACAAAAACCATCAATACAGTGTATATAAAATGGCGCAGTTCATCACTGACAACAATTCCTCTGCTGTAACCACTGATCAAATACTTAATTCCGTTTAATTTCTGCTGAAACTCCCCGATCACTAAAATCATGCACTTTGTTCCTAACAATAGCGCACATACTAAAGTTTCGCTCATTCAAAACCTTGGCTGAATTTTTACATGTCCCCTCAGTGAAGTCTTGAGTTGACGCCCAGCCAGCTTCTGCTGGCTCGGGCTCAACTGTGACCAAGCTTCAGTCAATAAAATGAGATCTGTAGCAACCCAAACTCTCTGAAATTGACGCTCCTGACAATGGCAGTTCGCGTTCTCCTGATAATGGTTCAGCAGAGCCGTTTGCTCATCGTCAGCAAATCCCTTCTTGTGGAACCATCGTTCGTTTAATGATCGTGCGATGTAAACTTGCCTCTCGTTATTTTCGCTGTACATAGTGATGCATCAGCACGCATTATCAGCAAAGCCAATCGCGTGTATGGATGATCTTCAACCTTGATCCTATCCAGAAGTCCCTGAAAATTTTCACTGATCAACACACTGTTCGTTAGTTGATTCTCAGTGTTCACGAATCATCAATGATAACCTTTCGTCTTCGTTTCATTGTCAAAACATTTCGAATTTCGAACTCTACGATGCAATGAAAAAGATCTTTCTCAT